TGGACCGTGAACCGGACCAGGACCGATTCTATGAAATCCTGGACCTCGGACCGGACCCAGCTGGACCTCTTGTGGACCGGACCAGCGGTCCAGTCCAGGTCCGAACCCGGTCCGGACCTCTGGACCAATTATATAATATATATTAAAATAATTCTGTCTTATTAACATATTATATGAGATAGATATACTATTAAGTACTATAATAATATGTTTCTGAATATATGTAAGCTTATATGTATCAGAATACAATTACTTTTATTATTTGTATTATACTAAGTGTAAAACACAAGAAGTACTAGTGTAATAGAAATCAGTTCCCACAGTCAATGTAAACTGCCGTTTACATCTGTAAGACACAGTATAGTCTATTTGTATGCTTAAAGGGTATACAATGCACTATACAATATATGTAAGAGTAGTTCACATCTATTAGGCTCTGTACAGTCCATTTGTATGCCTTAAAGAAGTAGTATCTACAATATAAACGGTCCACAGTCCGGTCCAGGGTCCAGGCGGTCCAAAGCGGTCCGGAAATTTTTGTCAAACGCTGGACCGCGGACTGGACCCCTGTTGGACCCAACTGGACCGGACCTCAATCGGACCGGACCAGAGGTCCAGTCCAGGTCCGGACCCGGTCCACAGCGGTCCTGGACCGGACAACGGCAACTATAGGTGTGTCTCTTTGTGATTATCATACCTCTTTGGCCATAGTTGTAACTTGAGTCGTTACACTTGTCAGTAAGAGTTTATACCGAGAAATGGCCGAACGCACGAATATGATAGACCAAGACGGTCAATACTGCTATAAGGAAACAGTTTTGATAAAAGATTTCAGAAACGATTGATTTAACGAAGTCAGTGTCGACGCCTTCATTATCAGAGCGACTGCGAAGAAGGTGGGTAAGTCTATAGTGAGAGTTGGTCTGTCATCGAAGGGGAGCGTACACGACGGGGTTCGTCCTGGAATTTGTTTTATTGGGCATGTAGCATTGTCTACTGAGCCTCATAGTTCGATGGAGCAATGTCCGTCGACGCTGATTGAAGGTAGAGATCTGGGGAAGTCTCAATTGGTTATCTGAACTATTTGTTGAACGCACGTGGGCTCCTATTCTCCAAAACAGGTATTACTACGTAATGAAACGGGAAACTAAGGTCTACCGAATCCCCAACCCGCCCTCGCCCCTTGTACTAGGTGGCTCCCAACACGACTTCTCACCTCACATAAGACTCTCCCGCAGATGCCTCGCAGCATCCGCATCAAGACCAAGCCCAATCTCCGGCTCAAGAACAATACCAGGACTGCCTCTCGTGCGAGAACATCGGAACTATTGCTTTAGCGAGTGTTGGTCTCTGCGCACTCAACCAATCACGTCCTCATCAACCCGGCTCACCTTTTGCGAGGCGAGTTATGGCGGGCGTTGGGGTGTATTTCTTGGGTATGAGTTGGATCAGATGGTAAGCAAGTCTTTTTCCCTTATGTTTCTTGGATATGTAAGTCTCACAACGTGCCTGTGGGAACAAATTTAGATTCGGAGGATTTCAACTTGGAAACAGGAGCCAGACTAGTGTCGTAGGCTCGAAACTAAACCACATCTCAGAGCTAGGTAAACTCATGTGCATAACAATTTTATTCTTTATGCTAATGCAAGCTGTTGTACAAATTAATTTCAAGGTTTTCGCAAATTCGAGAACTTCGGCTTCTTCTCTACGAAAGCACTCATACCCTCCTTTTGATCCTTCGTCGCAAACAATGCATGGAAAGCACACACTTTTCTAACACCAAACATTCTCTCCCACCAAATCCATCCGCCTTCCTCACATACTCCTTCGTAGCCCTCATAACAATTGCACCTTTCTGAGAAATTATAAGATACGCGTCTGATAAACTCGACAAGCTAGTCACGTCACGGTCACAACCCACGCTTACCAAATTAGGAAGGACCCTTACGGCGAAATTTCAGAGTGTAACTTCGACTTGAAGTTTTGCCTCAGCCAAAGATGATTCTATATAATACAGAGAAGAGAATCTTGCCTATTTTCAGATAGAATTAAATATTACAACAATAAAATATTTGACCATTACAGTCTGTATCTATAATTTTGTAGCTTTATCAAGATGATTACACCATCCGATCATTATGACAAATACTATATATTATAAATGTTATTATGTTATATACATATATAGCAATTATTTGTCATATAGCCTTATCTAATGGTGGCGAAATCTGAAGGAAAAAAATTAAAAAATTTACCAGACTGCTGGAAAAGTATAATTACAGCATTTAGAGCAAAAAACATAGTTTGCAAAATAACTCAGCCAATATTCACTTTTAAAAAATTCTGTTCCATCATCTTGTAGAGAAGGCTTAATACAACAAATCGATAGTGCTACTTTTTGAGTTTTGGGTCTCTGGATGGACGAGTTTCGTGCTCATTGTGGAAGCTGCATTAGGAAGGTAAGGGTTACATCA